TGAAGTTGGTGTCTGGCACAGCACGGCGCATGGTGGGAGGTCTGTTTTAAACGCCAGCTGTGTTCTGCAGTCACCTGCACCCCGGCTTCGCGCTTCTCCACGGCGCTGCTGTGATGAGGGCTGATGGGCCCATCGTTGTTCTGGTTGGGACAGCAGCCCCGCACCTCGTCGATGGAGACTCAGGAAATACGGTGTTCGGCACCTGCTCCTGTGCGCTGACTGCGTGGAAGTCACCTCCCGTGGGGTCCTGCTGGGTTAGGACAGCACTGAAGGAACTTAGACACTTAGTGTGTCCTGTGGCCGGCAGTTGTAGTGCAGGTTCTCATAAAAGAGGAACGTGAAGTTCCTGGTGGTTTAGTTTTAGTATTTGTCAGAGCCTGTTTTATTTTGACAACATGTTAATCTTATGAAATGATGTATATTTTAATTTTTCAGGATTATCACCGTCCCTCAGTATCTGTAGGGGACTGGTTCTAGGCCTCCACGTGGATGCCAGAACCAGATACTCAAGTCCCGTGTAGAAAATGGTATCCTGTTTGCATAGAGCCTACACACTTCCAAGTACTCTATTTTTATTATTTTTATTGGTTTATTTACTTGAGAGAGTTCCCGTATACTGGTTCGCTCCTCAGATGCCCATAGTTGCCAGGGCCCAGGCCTGGAGCTGAGAACACAGTGCGTATCAGCCACGTGGGCAGCAGGAACCCAGTTACTTGAACTGTCACTACTGCCTTCCAGGGCCTGCAACAGCAGGGAGCTAGACACTGAACCCACGCACTCCAGTATCCTGAGCAGTAGGCCAAGCGCCCACGCCTTCCTGGGCAATTTAAGTACTGATACAGTGTAAATGCCATGTAAATAGCCCTACTGTGTTGTTTAGGGGATAATGACAGGGAAACAAACCTATACATGCTTATAGACTCAGTTGATTTTTTAAAAATATTTCAATCTGTCTCTCTGTCTCTCTGTCTCTCTCTCTCTCACTGTCCACTCTGCCTGTCAAAAAAAAAAAAAAAAATTTTCAATCTGGCCGGCGCCGCGGCTCACTAGGCTAATGCTCCACCTAGTGGCGCCAGCACACCGGGTTCTAGTCCCGGTCGGGGCGCCGGATTCTGTCCCGGTTGCCCCTCTTTCAGGCCAGCTCTCTGCTGTGACCCAAGAGTGCAGTGGAGGATGGCCCAGGTGCTTGGGCCCTGCACCCCATGGGAGACCAGGAGAAGCACCTGGCTCCTGCCATCGGGTCAGCGTGGTGTGCCGGCCGCAGCGCGCCGGCCGTGGGGGCCATTGGAGGGTGAACCAACAGCAAAGGAAGACCTTTCTCTCTGTCTCTCTCTGTCACTGTCCACTCTGCCTGTCAAAAAAAAAATATTTCAATCTGTGGTTGGTTTAATCTGCAGACGTACAGCCCACAAATACAGAGCACCAACTCTGTTTTCAGGTGGATGCTCGGGTCACTGTCGCAGTCACACTCTTTAGTGACTAATTCCTCATCTAAAGGTTGTATCGGTGCAAATGCATATGTTCGTTACAGAGGTGCATATAAACAACCTGTAAAAATCTGACTTTGATTTCCCACAGAAACATTGTCTGCAAACACAGGAGACGCCCCCATCAGCAAGCCCCCACAGCCACACGTGAAAAGGTACAGTGGTCAGCGCCCAGAGGCCCGCCTCTCCTAACACTGGATAAACAATGCGCGCTAAAGGCCTCCTCTTTCCTCCTAGCTTCCATCCACAAATAAAATGGTTCCAGAAAGACGATGTTGTCATCTTGAAGATACAAGTAAGGAATGTCAAGGATTACAGATGTAAATACTTCCGAGACAGGGTCGTTTTCAGGTAGGTTGATATGCGCCGTGTGCTGGGCCACAGGACTGGCCCGTGGCTCCGGAAAGGCTGACTGGGTTCTCTCTCCTAGCGCCTGGGTGGGAGACAAGTTCTACAGAGCTGATTTGGAGCTGCAGGGCAGCATCAGAAAAGACAGCTGCAGGTGCGTCATCAGAAACGACGAGCCCGTGATTACTCTGGCGAAAGAGAGAAGGGAGCCGTGGCGCGGCCTGCTCAGACACAGGGTGAGTGCCGGTGACGGAGGCTGGCGGCCGTGGCTCCGAGGGTGACTCTGTGTTCACTTACGGCAGCTGTTCTGTTGGACAGAATCCGAATGTGGCTTTTGATTTTGACCACTGGGAAGAGTGTGAAGAGGACAGCCACTTCTCCAAGGGTAGGACCTGGGCACCCACTCCCTGGAGGGGCTGGGGCCCTGCATGCCGGCGTGGACATATCCCTCAGCTGACTTTAGGGATCCCACCTTTATGGAAATGGGCCGTTAATAAAGCCAGCCTTCAGAGGTCAGTGTTCTCTTTATGGGTGTCCTGGTGCTGAGTGTTCCAGTCTGGGGACTTGCTGACCTTTGGTTAAAAACATTACCTTCTTACAACACTTTTACAGATTCTCTTCCCTAGAATCACTTACTTACAAGCAGACCTCCTCGTTTCTTGCCTAAAATAATGAAAATATAAAATTATCCGCAAGGTGGAGCTAGAGGCAAAGGCACATCTTTGGGTGGGGGACAGATTCGCTCCTTACCACGCACTCAGCATGTTTCTGATGATGCCTCACTCTTGCAGCTGTGACTTCTAAGAGGCTGCCCTGCAAAGTGGCAGAGGTGGTCGGACCCAGCAGCAGCGCTTCGGAGGCTGACGGGAGTGAGAGTGAGTGAGACTGAAGTCCCGCCGGCAGCCCGAGACTTGGAACAACCATGGCTGTGGCCGTGTGTTGGAAGTTAAGAAAACAAGTGATGCTACCCAAACCGTCTTTCACCTCAAGGGGGAATTATTGCCAGGGGTCATCTTATGCTTCAGGATTGGTAATGGTGACAGATTTCCTGGTCAATTAAAAACAGGCTGATAAGACCAGCATTGTGGCGCAGCAGGTTGGGCCTCCGCCTGCGACACTGACGTCCCATATGAATGCTGGTTCCAATCCTGGCTGTTCTACTTCTAATCCAGCTCCCTGCTAATGCTCCTGGGAAGGCAGCAAAGTACCGTGGGTACTTGGGCCCCTGCCACCCACGTGGGATGGAGTCCTGGGCTCTTGGTTTCCATCTGGCCCATCCCTGGCTGTTGTGGCCATTTGTGGAATGAACCAGCAGATGGAAGATACTCTCTCCTCTCTCTTTCTCTCTCTCTTTCCCTCTCTTTCTGCCCCAGGGCTGTCACTCTGCCTTTCAAATAAATTTTAAACCGTGGTTGCTATGAGAAGGTTGTCAGGAGGGTGGGAGCAGAGGAGCAGCGCGCTGGCCCTCCCGGCCTGGCTGTGCTGCCTGGCGCAGCCGTCGCCTCAGCTCGCCCTGACGCACTCAGCTCTGAGTGGCAGCGCAGACCCTGCCACTCGGTGAGGAACGTGCAGGCCCGAGTCGGCCACTCGCTGCTCTCCCCTGCTGTGCTGAACAGCCTCGGACCTGCCCGTCGCCCTCAGCAGCGGCCTCGCGGGGGTCGCCATAGCTGCCTCCGAGCACTACCGATACCCACCCCGGCTCCTCCGAGTGGGTCTGCCTCGGAGCTGGGGTGAGTGCCGGGGGCCGCACAGTGCCTGCTGGCAGGCCCAGCGCCCTCTGGAGAGGCGGCTGCTGCTTCCGAGTGACCTGCGCTCCCAGGTTCTTTTGTGGCAGAAACTTTCAAGGACCTGCGTGGTGCCCAGAGGGGACTCAGAACACCTGCCGTGATGACGGCCTCGTCCTGGGGGAAGGCTGCAGCACACCGAGGTCTGGGAAGAATTGTGGGCCGCCCCTCTGCTGCGGGCTTCTCTGCTCGTGGGGAAGGTTTAAGGTGAGCTGTTGGGAACCGTGAGGCCCCCTGGACTTCCTCGGCAGCAGCTGAGTGGGAAACGCGTTGGCCCATCGCAGCTGCACGGAGATCTTGGTTCTTTACGTCCCGGAGCGCAGACGCCTGAGCGCACGTGGTCCGGTGAGCGGCCTTGGGTCATACTCTGGCCCTCAGTTTCCTTATCTGTAAAGCGAGGCCCTGCCCACCTCGGGGAGCCTGTGCAGAGCCAGAGCCGGCGCGTGCTCTGCGTGGGGGCTCTGGGGGCAGTGCCTTGCTGCTGCGCCTCTCACGGGGACTGCAGGTGGCAGGAGGCAGACCGGTCAGGAAGGGAGGGGTGGTTTCCTTGTTCTCAGCCGGTTGGACAGGCTCTGAGGACGCTGGTGAAGCTGTTGACTCCGCGGGGTGCCTCCTGTGTCAGCTGCTGCAGGCGGGGTCATGGTGGACAGAGGCCCCGCGCCGTGTCCTGTGCTCACCATGGCACAGGCTTGGGTTGGGTCGGCAAGGGGTTTTTTTTTGCTGTCTGTGTCCCAGCCAAGCGGTGGGGGCCCTGCCGTCCGAGAAGAGACTGCAGGCCAGCTCCCCCGTGCGGCTCAGTCGGCCGCGTGAAAGCCCTGGGCAGGCAGCGGCTGGGTTTAAACCTGTTTTTGTTCAGACGTTCAGCTTTTCCTGATGTCTGTGAGCACGTGGTCACCGCCTTCCTGTACCGCTGTTACGTCTGTACTGATTTCATGCGTTGAGTAATTTCTTAGGCGCGAGGGGAAAGCACCTTTGTCGTGGCTTCTGAGGTTGTGCGCAGTCATGGGTTGGGGACGTCTGTTGTGTTAGCAATAAAGCTTCCGTGTTCTGACAGAAACGTGTCCCACGTGTTTCCTCCCGCGTGCCCCTGCAACATCAGATCCCACTCGCGGCCCCTTCTGCCTGGCCCAGGAGGCCAGAGAGGGCTGCTGGGGGTTCGGGGGCACGGACCTGCGAGCGCGAGGGCGGCTCTGCGCCGGGGCTGCCTCCTGCAGCCTGACGTGGCCCGGCCGGGCCCTTTGCTGGCTCAAGACAGAGGTGGCAGCGTCTGAGCAGCGAGGAGAGCAGGCGGTAAAGCACTGGGCCTGCCTGCCTGCCTGCAACGTCCCGTCGGCGGAAGCGGAAGCCCCGAGGCCTGCAGAGGCACACACTTGCTGCTGGCGGCGATGCAGGAATGCGCTTTATTCGCGGGAGCGTGTTGTGTCCCTCGGGCAGGCACACAGCAGCCGCTGGGCCATGGCTGCACCTGCCGGGGTCACCGTACACGCCTGGAACCCACCCAGACAATTAAGGATACCAAAAATAATATTACATAAGCATCTGATACAATTCTTCTTAAGAAAAAAATCAGGAAGAAATACCACAAATACTGCTTACAAAAATAAACTCCTCACAGCTTTGAGTTGGTTACAAGACACAAACTTGTCACTTGGGGTCTGGCTCCGGCGGCACAACTTCCATGAGCATCTGGAGGTGCATGGTGATGGGCTCTGGAACACAAGCAGCGGGCAGGTGGTTGGTTAGCGGAGCGTGCGTGCCCACGGACGGCTGTCCCCGGAGCCGCGCTGGGGCTTTGGAGCGAGCTGTTTCCGTTAAGGAATTAGGAAGCTGCCAAGTATTTAACTGCCACTAACCAATGCACACTCTAGGAAAACTAAGTTACACATATACTTACTACCAGTGTCTAAGTCACTAGGACTTCTGTTTATTTAAAGTGTAAGATCACTCATTGGTTTTCACCACCTTAACCCAACTTCTACCAACTTCTGTAGGAAGCAGCTTGCTGAATCTTCTAGAGCTGAGAAACAAGATCTATTTTGTGCCGTGGGCTTCCAAAGCCTGATTCCGTCATCCTAGCCAGATTATCTGTTGGCATGATCAAATCCAAGGTTGTTTTTTTTTTTTTTTTTTTTTTTTTTAAGATTTCCTTATTTATTTGAAAGTTAGAATTAGAGCTATCTGCTGGTTCACTGCCCATATGGCCACAACGGCCAGGATTGGGTCAAGTCCCCACATGGGTGTCATCTTCTGCTTTTCCCAGGCCACTGGCAGGGAGCTGGATCAGAAGTGGAGCAGCCAGGCCAGGAGCCAGTGCCCACACGGGATGCTGCCATCAAAGGTGGCAGCTTTTCCCGCTAACCCACAACAGGCCCAGAAGGCTGTTTCCTCTCACACGAATACATTTCCTTTCCCTTCTGTCGGAGTGCCCACAACCTCACTCCTTCCCAGCGCAGGGTTGAGGTCAGAGTAGAGACGGGGGGAGGGGCTGTTTCAGGAAGGAGACAAGTGCCTGGTGGAAATAACAATATGTTGCTGCTGTTTCACTCTTAATCAACATGAACTAAATTCTCTCGCCACTGTCAGGTCAGTAACGGCACCGATCTCATGGCCCAGGAAGTGCAGGTGGAGAGGACCCAGCGTGCTCAGGCATTCTCAGTCCTGGCTGGCAGGGTCTGAAGCCCAGGTCCCTGCTGGCCCTCTGGTCGGGTTCTACTGGTCATCCCCTGGCTGTCCCCCCTGTGTGTGTGGTCTATAAATGGCACGCACAGGAGTGCCTGCAGGGGAGGCTGCGCCTTGCTGGTGAGAAACTGAGCAGCGGGCAGGTTTTCGGCCACAGGACTCAGTAACACCACGGGGCTGTGACAGGCCAGACACTGCTGGGATTACATCGTACACAGCCCACTTCCTGTCTTCAGGGAGCTTACAGAGCAGGAGGCAGGCCCTGGTGGGGGTGCTCGGGAGCCTGGGAAGGCTTTGATGAGGAGGGTTGGTGCACTTCAATTTGTTGTGCAGTTTACAACTTATGAATATAGCACTGAAGTAAAGAAAAGTGTAATTGAGTCTCAGAGGCGTCTTTGGCACAAGTGGACTTTAGGTGTGAAAGTGGCTTATGCAGCTAAACTTGTAGACAACAGTTGAGGGCAGGCACTTGGTACCATGATTAAGATGCCACTGGAGAGACCTGCATCCCATACTGGAGTGCCTGGGCCTGCGTCCTTGCTCCACTTCCCATCCAGCTCCCAGCTAACAACGCACATGCTGGGCGGGAGCAAATGGTGGCTCAAGAACCTGAGTCCCTGCCACCCCGTGTGGGAGAGCCACACGGAGTTCCCGGCTCCTGGCTTTGGCCTGGCCCAGCCCCAGTTGTGGGCATTTGGAGAGCAAACCAGAAGAAGGAAGATCTCTTTCTGCCTTTCAAATAAGTGAAAAGTAGAATACATTTAATAAAAATAAATAGTTGTCTTTTTTAAAAACAGATGCAAATGACTGCCAGATGGAGGAGAGACCTGCGGCAGCACAGGCCTTGTCACTCTCCCAGCCCTGGCTCTGTCACTGAGCGACTGGCGTGCCAGTGAGCTCTTAGCTGGTACGCACGTGTGTCAGGCAGAGGAACGTGGTGCGCTGAAGATAAACATACTTAACACTAGTGAACCGCACTCATCAGAGGTCACGGTGGCCATCTAAGCTTACAGGTATTTTAAGTTAAAAAGGAAATGAGGGACAGGTGTTTAGCCTAGCAGTCAGGACCCCGTGTCCCACACGGGAGTGGCTGGGTTCAGGCTCTGGCTTCTGAGGCCAGTTTCCTGCTCACACAGACCGTGGGAGGCAGAAGCGACCGTGTCAACAAGGGAGGCCTGGACAGTGAGGCAGCAGATGGGAGCTGTCTCCCTGTCTCCCCTCCCCTCTCTCCCCTCTCCTCCCTCTCCCTCTCTCCCCTCTCCTCCCTTTCCCTGCTCCCTCTCCCCCCTCCCCATGCCCCCGCCCCCGCCCCACTCCCTAAGATTCTGTTTAAAATGCTTTGCTTTCCCTTCCTGTCTGGCAGGCGAAGTGATGGAAACAGGCGGCCCAGGACGGGCCCGGAGGTGTTCAGCCGGGGGCAGTGGTGCACTGTGGGGCACTGCAGCTCTGTGCTTTCATAGCGGAACCACCTGATGTGATACTTACTTGAGATTTTCTGAGCCCATTCAAACTTGTAGTAGACGAAAAGGAAGTAAAATACAAGGCCGCTCAGGATAAATAACACGCAGTAGAGATACTCCCACGCTGGGTTAGTGATGACTGGGGCCAGGACCAAAAACGCAGCTATGAAGGTCACCAGGATGGGGATGAAGATGGGCACCTGCAAGCAGAGCAGCGAGGGGTCAGGGCTGGCTGTGCAGCTGCGTGCGTCCGTCTGTCTTGCTGTCGATGTTTTTCACTGAAGTATGGAGTATGGTGACCTCTACGTGACCCCTCCAGTTTTAGGAACTTCTGTCAGCTTGTCAGTCTTACCTCATCTACTCCACCTTTTCTTTTTCCTAGAATACGAAGAACCCACTGGACACCGTGTCACTGTGCACATCTCAGTGTGTCTCTGATGAGTTCAGTGCCATTCTTCTCCCTCCCTTTTGTGGTAAACAAACTGGAAGATGGACCCTCTATGCTCTACGTAGAGCTTCGTGTGATGGCATCCTGCTGCTGCCTTGGCCTTGGCCTTGGCCTCTGTCCCCTGTATTCCCTGCACACTGGTAGCTAGGTTTAGAGGCACGAATACTTCCTGGTGGAGCAGTGCACTTCCATCAGGCACATGTCTGTCTGTCCACTTTGGAATTCCTAAGGTCTGTCAGTGGGCTTAGGAGAGGGAGAGCGGTCCAGGCCCACCATGAGAAATGTCCCTGTTAACCTCCTGGTTTTGAACTGGAGGTGAAGCTCGAGTGGTTTAGCCTCTACTGCTAACATTGCCTTGATTCATTGCTTCACCGAGGGTACAAAGGAGTCACCTAATGCTGTGGAACTGTAGAGTGAAGCCCTTCACCTGCCGTCCGGTTAAGAAGTGGCTTCAAAGACCCTCGTGCAGGGTCTGGAGTATGCTCTGTTCTTTTGCAAGGACAGAAAAAACTTTTCAAGAAGGGAAAAAAATTCATATATCCATACTGACATTTCCAATTCCAATGTAAGATTATATGTATTTTTATGCCTTTTTTCCCTGAAAATCTTGTTTCTTAATCATGTGAACATAATTCCTTATTTGCTGTGTTCTGTAATGCACCTATAAGAAATTCCCCAGGAACTACACGAGTAGGAACGTAAGTCACTGGACCTTTAAGGCGCTGTGTGGTTGGTTAACGCACGAAGGGGATGAACAGTCCTGGTAATCCCCTTCTCCGTGGCTGTCACCTGCTTGTCACACAAGCAAGGCTTCTTTTGCTCCTTTGTTAATTTGGGGGTTTCATTTTTTCCCTTTTCATATTTCTTCCATGAGAATAAACACATATACATAAACTTATATGTTCACCTTCCACTGCTGTTTAGGAAGTAGCAAATGACACAATCATAGCTTTGCCCCTGGCCTTGCTCCTGCAGCACATCCAGAGATGCTGACATAGTCAAATGTGAAGTGAGTGATCATCCGTTTCCTGTTGCTGCTAACCATAGTGTCTGTGGCTGAAACACCATTTGAGTGTTGCCTGTTGGCTTTGGGGTCGTGTTGAATCTTTTGCTGATAGAATTGGTGCCTCAAGAAAGAACTTTGTGTATATTTCACATGTCTGCAGTTTCTCTTTGGGATTGGGATAAAGGGCCAAAGAGAAAATGATTGGATAGTTTTGCCAGGTACCGCCCCGAGGGGCAGGGCTCCACACCCAGTGCCAACAACGGGCAAGGGAGTGAGCTCGTCTTTGCTGCCCACCTGATGGGCCGCAAGTGCTACTTCTCCTCGTTCTGGCCTGCTTGCTTGATGAGCTTGCTGGGATTCCGAGCTTCTTTGTTTTCATGTGTAAGCGCCTTTGCATTTTTGTTTGAACTTTTAAAAAAATTTTTTTCTTCAAGGACTGGTGTTTCCCATCTCAATTGTTGGGAACTCTTTCTTTTGTGGGGGGGCAGGGGAGGATATCACCTGCAAAGACTGCCCGCCCCCATTCTGCTGTGTGTGTGTTTCACTTGCTTTTTAAAAAGACTGATTTTTTTCTCTTTATTACTTCTGGAATTTGAGTCCTGGGCAGGCTGTCTGCATTCATGGCTTACAGAGCAGTTCACACTTCATTCGCGCATCACACCCTAAGTCTAGAGTCTGTGGTCTTTCAGGTGTAGTTTATAGTTTCCCACCTAGAGGTCTAACCTCCTTACATTGATACATAATTTAAATTTTAAAGAGACAGAGGGGACAAACTCTCCAGATTCCTGCTGGGCATAGTCAAGGGCCAAAAACTCAATCCAGGTCTCCCACGTGGGCGGCAGGCACCCAGCTGGGGGGCCGTCACCACTGCCTCTCAGGCTCTGCACTGGCAGGAAGGGCCAGGAACGAAAGGCAGGTCCCACGGAAAGGGATGGGAAGTAGGCATCCTAATGCCCACAGCAGGGGATTATTTTGGGGATTTTTTTTGTGTTTAATTTGGGGGACCCAGGTATTCTTTTCCATTATCTTTTCATTGGAATCATTTGCATAAAGGCTGTTGATTTCAGTGTGTGGATGGTATATCTTACCACTTTATTAATAGTTTGTTCTTTGATTCCTTTGCATCTTCCAGATACATAATTATACAATCTTCAAAAGGTTTTAAAGACTTTAAAAATTATTTTCTGCCTCTCACACCCCAAATTGCTTTCTTCTTTCTATATCCCTTGCTAGTATATTCAAAACAATGCTAAATGGAGACCAGCATTGTGGTGTGGTGGGTAAACTGGTTCGAGTGCCCTCTGCTCCACTTCTGATCTAGCTCCCTGCTAATGCACCTGGGAAAGCAGTGGAAGATGGCCCAAGTGCTTGGATCCCTGCACCCCTGTGGGAGACCTGGGTGAAATTAATGTTCCCATAATATTCATTTTCCATGAACTTTTTAAAGACCCCCTCATTGGCAAGGATTTAAAAAAAATGTTGCACCAAAATAAACTTGCCTTTAAGTATCTTCATATAATGTACTGGGAATTTTTTTTTTTTTTTTGACAGGCAGAGTTAGACAGTGAGAGAAAGAGACAGAGAGAAAGGTCTTCCTTCCATTGGTTCACCCCCTAAATGGCTGCTGCAGCCGGCGCACCGTACTGATCCAAAGCCAGGAGCCAGGTGCTTCTCCTGGTCTCCCATGCGGGTGCAGGACCCAAGCACTTGGGCCATCCTCCACTGCCCTCCCGGACCACAGAGCAGAGAGCTGGACTAGAAGAGGAGTGACTGGGACAGAATCTGGCGCCCCCACCGGGACTAGAACCCGGGGTGCCGGCGCCGCAGGCGGAGGATTAGCCTAGTGAGCCGCGGCGCCGGCTGGGAAATTCTTAAAATCAGATTTTCCTGGTATTCATTTGTTCCAGATCACTGAAAAAGGAGAACTCTGAAAGAAGCCAGAGTGATTGCGTATTCCTTACAGAGTGACTGCTCTCTCCTCCCTGACACCTCGGCTTCTCGATGTTATTAGGTTTTTCTGCTCTTGGTTTTCTGCATTTGTTATTGTGCTTTCTGAGTTGCCTGTTTTCCTGTTTATTCATCCAAGTATCGAATGTGAGGAAGTTCTTCACGTGCAGTGTAGATGGTGCCCGGGCCTCCGTCTCCTCCCACTGTTGCTCCAGCTGTGTGCGCACGCGCAGTGCCCGTGTCCTCTTGGCCCCACAGGTTTGTCTTCTTGAGTTCCTGTTTTGTTGCCTCACAGAGAACGAGACTTGTATTATTTTTTGAAATATTAAATTTTCCTTTGTGGTGGCAGAGGAGGTCACGTGCCAGTCTTGTCTTGGATGCACTTGGAGAGGCGCGTGTTGGGGGGTCCAGAGTTGGAGCCGTAGCTGGTGATGTTTCCAGTCCCGGGCCTCTTCCTAGTGGAGTGTCTGGCTCCACGCTGGCTGGAGGAGGTGTGCTCGCTGCTCCCTGCCGGTCCTGCGGTCTCTGCTCACAAGCACTTCGCAAGGGTGTGGGAGCTGGATGGCTGCGTGGATGGATTTTCAGCATCATCTCCTCACCGGGAGATTTCGCATTGCCAAATGATCTGGCTTTGTCCTGGGCAACGCTGTAGGCCTGAGTGCTTGTCTGACACGTCTCGCCCTTGTTTTCTGAGTTTTAATTTGCCTGCTGCTGCTTTGCCTATCCTCTTATGTTTGATTTTCTTTAATTAATTTATTTTTACAGATCATTTACTTGAGAAGCAGAGTGACAGAAAGGGCTTCCATTCACTGGTTTCCTCCCCAAATGGCCACAACGGCAGGAGCTGGGCCAATCTGAAGCCGGAGCCAGAAGCTTCTCGGGTCTCCCACGTGGGTGCAGGGCCCCAAGCACTTGGACCATTCTCCGCTGCTTTCCCAGGCCACAGCAGAGAGCTGGATTGGAAGAGGAGCCACCGGGACTCGAACTGATGCCCACATGGAATGCCATGCAGCAGGCAGATGCTTAGCCCACTGTGTCATAGCGCCAGCCCCTTATGTTTGATTTTCCACAGCTTCATAAACCTTCCTGCTAAAAACCTCTCAATAAGCCAGCTGTGCACAGCTGACAGGCTCGTTCTCCCATCTCACGTCACTCGTATTTCTGTCAACACTCAGCGTGTACTTCTGTCAGTCTTCTGCCCTTGAAGAGAGCCAGTCTGTGGGAAAACACTCCCTAGGAGAGTATTTTCCTTATTTCAAGTCGGAAAACTATCTTGCATTGTAAAAAAAAAAAAAATTCAAATTCCCAGCTCAAAAACAGCTAAAGCAACAGTAGCTCACACAGCCAGCACGCTGCGTGCTTCACAGGTGTCTGCGCTGAGCAGAGTCACGTGGCTCACGCAGGGCGGCCCAGCCTGACACGTGCTTCTCGCTTCCCTGGCGTGTGTGGTGCCTTTGGAATGTGACTTCAAACCTCACATGCATGTTTTGTTGAAAACTTCCTGCTGCCTTTGGCAATTTACTCATATAAACATGAGCTGGAAGTGGAAGGATTAGGAGATTCAAGATTATATAGAGATGTTGGGACCGGCACTGTGGTCGAGTCCTGGCTGCTCCACTCCCGATCCAGCTCCGCGCTAATGCACCTGGGAAAGCAGTGGAAGTTGGCCCAAGTGCTTGAGCCCTTGCACCCACGTGGGAAGAAGCTCCTGGCGCCTGGCCCAGCCCTGGCCATTTGGGGAGTGAACTGGCAGGTGGAAGATCTCTGTCGCTTCCCTTCTCTACCTTTCAAACAACAAAGGAGCCTGACACATATTCTCCCAAGAAAACATTAACCAGGAAGATGTTCTCGTGGGCACCCCCATACAGCTCATTATCCAGGGTCTTATATGATGTGCTCCGTTTCTTTTGTCACCTCCTCCCCTATTTGAGAAATGTGTCTTCTGTGGGCAGTGCTGGCATCCCATATGGATGCTGGTTCCAGTCCCGGCTGCTCTACTTCCAATCTAGCTCCCTGTTAATGCACCTGGGAAAACAGTGGAGGATGGCCCAGGCACTTAGGAGACCCAGAAGAAGCTCCTGGCTTCAGATTGGCCCAGCCGTGGCTGTTGGGGCCATCTAGGGAGTGGACCAGTGATGGAAGACCTCTCTCTCTCTCTCCTGTCTGCATAACGGACTTTGAGATGAATAAATCTTAAGAAAATAAAGTGTCTGCTGGTAAAGGCTGTGCCTTTGTTCTGAGAGTCACCCTAACCGTTAGAGCTACCACAGCTGTCAGAACCAGTGGTGGCCAGGAGGTGCCGACCCTTAGATATTTTACATGATAGGTTATATTATCTCCTATGTATGCCCACATAATAGCGTCAGCCCCTCCCTTTAGGTGTGGTCTACAAGAAGCAGTAAGGAAACTGGCTAGGCGTCCTCGCCCCACGGCTGTGCACAGGCTGGCCTGGCCTGCGGCCTGCACTGACCACACGCTGCTCACTGGGCTCTTGCTCAGTGCAGAGCCGTCTACGTCACTGTAAGAAACCAAAGCCGCTCGTGACCGCGGGACACTCAGCTTACCTTGATGGGCCTTTCCAGTTCTTTCCTTGTAAACCTCATCACGATGAGTCCTAGAATCGTCAGGCCATAAAACAGCCATGTGGCAAAACTGAAGTAATTGACGAGGGAGTTTATGTCACCAGGAATGATATAAATGGTCGCAACGATCCCCTGGTAGACAGAAGAGCAAATTTTAGGTCATCGGTGCATGAAACCCGGTCCTCACTGCTTCGCAGACGGCCAGAGCAGCGGTTTCCCTGCGCACAGCACTAGCGTGACAGAGACCCCGGGCAGCCCACCCGGGCAGGGGTTAAACCGGACTTGGCCGTGGGGTCTGTTCTCTGAAGCCTGGGAAGCGGCTTGGGAAAGCCAAACGTTTGAAGTTGTGGTTCAACGCAAGGACTGAGCGTGGACGGGTCTGACCAGCCCTGCCTAACGGTGACTTTCCCTTCCAGAGTTCTCCACACAGGCAGGACCTCGGACGATGAAGCTCAGGTCTGGTCTGGGCCTGTGCTGGTTGCATGGCCCTGGACTGGTCTTTCCCCGCTGTGGGTCTCGCTGTCTCCATGGTGAGCAGGTTGATGGACAGCAGAGGGGTGGGGAGCTTGGACAGAAGGCTAGGAATGTGGGTGTCCTGGGACCCCAGAGTGGTGACACACAACCGAGGACCATCCCCCACAGAGGCCCTGACCTCTGAGTTGGGAGTGGCTGCTGTCAGTCACCACTAGTACAATGCATCAGTCTTCTCTGGGCCAGTGGGCCAGTGTCGTTTGTTAGAAAGACCCGGAACAAAGGACACACGTGGAAGATCCACACGGTGGCTGTCGTGGATAAATTCCGGGGGCGCAGCCAGGTGTATTGCTTGTTTGAACTGTCCTGGGTGTTGTTTCAATGCAAGGATCTTGGGAACCTGGGCTTAGCAGTACGCATCTGTCACCGTGCAAACTGGGGTCTCTCTGCCCTCCAGGTGGGCGCTGTTGCGCAGGTCCCATACGTACGTAAAAGATGATGGCAGGGGCTGGGGTCAGGCGCCTGACACTGATGTAAGAGAGCACTTTGAGCATGTGGCCTTCCCGGCCGGCCACGTAAACGAGTCTGAAAAACAAGCACACAGCCATCAGCAGCTTGTCCCACAGGCCCTGAGTTAGTGTCCGAGTCCCACTCCTGAGGCCACAGAGGGCCCGCTGGGCGGCCTGGTTGCCCTCCTGGAGGAGGAACCAGGAGCGAAGAGCGGCAGAGAGGAAGGCACCCAGCATGAAGTCGGCAGAGCAGGAAGAGACACTGGAGAGGCCCTGAGATCTTTGAGGCTTAAAATATGCGAGAAACGCGGGTCCTGGGGGAAGAGCTGGGAGCTCAGCGCCTAGGGCTGCCGGCAGAGCAGACAGGCGGTGCTGATCCTACGCTACGAAACAAGCCAAAGGAGGGGCGGCTCCGCACGCAGGGATAGTCCGGTAATCTGGAGGATGCTTAACGCCTTCGAGAAAGGCACTGCGTCCCGCGTCCGAGTGCCGGCCGCTCGGCCTCTGAGCCAGCAGCAGACGGTGACTCAGGTGCGCGGGCCCAGCCCCAGCCATCACCTGCATGTGCGTGTGGGGACTGAACCAGCAGACGGAATGCAGGTTTCTCTCTCCGCTAGTTCCCTCTGCCTCCCGAGTAGATGAAAAAATAAACATGAAAAGATAATCGAGAAGATGATCTAAGCATTTCTTCAAAAAGTGGCCATAATTAAAGTTTCAATTAGAGACCAGTGGAAAAAAATGGGTTGGAACCTGGATCTGAAGTACAGAGAGCTGGAAAACGCAGGTGAGAAATACGAGAAATTCACGATCAGAAACAACGTAAGGCGAATTTAAAATGCGGAAAGCTTTATGATGCAGAGACCAGCGCTCGACCTGAGACACCAACAGCCCCGGATGTAGACATCGCAAAGAGGCAGACTCTTACAGGCTACTGGATTTAGACGATGAGCCCCTGAGTTAGCATGAGCTATAGCAAACGTCACGAGAAACGGTATCCAGAGTGATGAGGGAACTTTCAGATTGGAATTCGATGTAAGTCAGCTGGCGTTCAGGACACCGGCAAGGTAAATGCACTTTTGGATGGATGGAGGCACCCACTCTGCGCTCCCAAGTCTTCTCTAGCACGAGGACAGCTCACGGCAGGGAATTTCAAAGAGCCACGTTAGGGGCCAGCACCGTGGCTCACTGGCTTAATCCACCTGCGGCGCCAGCATCCCATATGGGTGCCAGGTTCTAGTCCCGGTTGGTTCACCCCCCAAATGGCCGCTACTGAGGTCTACCTCTGCCTCTCAAATAAATAAATATTTCAAAAAAATATATATACAACATAAATGAGTAGAACACAGTCCCAACTGCAAAGGACAGGTAACTCCACTGAGACGGAATATTAGATATTGCCTGGGCCTGGAGGTAGGAACAGAGATCAGCGTTCGGCAGGAGGGAGCTTTTGGGTTGATGGGAATGTCCTGGGGTTGATTGTGATGGGGTTCACACAGCTTTATAAGCCTGCTAACGTAACTGAGCTGAGCCTTTACTAAGGGTAAGTTTTATGGTACTTAGACCTCAGTAGGGCTATTAAAGTTGTGTTTTTATATACTCAGAGTGAGCCACTGTTACTTGTAATAGCAGGAAAATATATGACTTTGGAATAAATCTGACAAAAGATGTGTAAGAACTGTACACCCACAACTACTCCAGAACATTTTTAGAAAAAATCAGAGATGACCAGGTGAACAGCAGTCCACGCCCGTGGAGTGGGAGACTTGGCACTTCCCCGTGCAGCCCTGCCCCAAGCCCCCAAGGCTCTAAAATCCTCACAGACATGGGAAAACTGGTGACCCCTACGCTGATCCGTTGTCCCCCTTATCCAGATGGACCAAAGACCTAACGGGGAGACCATGCAAAGGTAATGGGAGTGCCACAGGCCACTGGTCTGGACAATAGTTTCTCATGTGTGACCCTAAAAGCACAAGCAGCAAGTGCAGAAATTGACAACGGGGGTGGCAGCCAACTGAAAAGCCTCTGCACAGGACAGAGAACAACAGAGTGAAGAGGAAACCGTCCAGCTGCGAGAAAATACTGGCAAAGCATAATCAGACTGAAGGCTGACTTCCAGAGGACACAGGGAACTCCAGAGAACAAGCAAACAACTGTGAAGGTGGACAAAGGACCTGAACAGAAAGGCCACAGCCACATGAAGCAGGCTCAGCATCACCTGTCAGAGAAACGGGACTGCAAGCCGCAGTGCACCGCCTCACACCTGTTCCAGCGGCCGCGATCCGAGAAGTCAAAGAGCAGCCTTGGTGAGGAGGTGGGGAGGACACTCTTGGTGGGAACCGGAATTAGCGTAGCCATTTTTGAAAACAAAACAGGGGTTCCTCAAAAAATCAAAAATAGGATTACCGTGAGATCCAGCATCCCACTTCTGGTTAAACATCCAGAAAAGTCGAAGTGTTCATTGCAGCAGCAGTCACAATAGCCAAGACACAGAGGCAGTCCAGCACCCAGGAACAAATGAAAGGCTAGAAACGTGCTGTGAAGACCCGCTGTGCCAAGGGAAGTAAGCTTGGGCACGCAAAGACAGCCAGCACATGATCTCACAGGTACAATCCCAAAATTCCAGACTCCTGGAGGCTCGGAATGGCAGAGGGGAGGTGGCCTTGGAGGGGGTGCTGGTAGCCAAAGGGAGGCCGGGAGAAGGGCTTCTGGCACCTGTTGCCCGGCAAGGTGACCATGGTTAATCACAGTGTGCCACACAAGGGGACTTCAGAAAGGTCGTGGGAACTGGACTCAAAAGTAAGTTTGTTTTGGTGCAGAAAGAATTCTGAAATCCATGTAATTTTTTTCCATCACAACACATTTTCCATACACTTTTTAAAGACTGATAAATTTCAGAGTTTCAGAATTCAAAAAAATGGGTTCTAGGGGCTGGCGGCATGGCATAGCAAGTTACACTGCCGCCTGTGAGGCTGGCATCCCACGTGGTCACCGGTTTGAGATCCGGCTGCTCCACTTCTGATCCAGCTCTGTCTCTCTCTCTCACTGTCCACTCTGCCTGTCAAAAATAAAAATAAAAAATAAAAAATATATATAGTAAGTGCATGTATATATATATGTGTGTGTGTGTGTGTGTGTGTGTGTGTGTGTATAGAGAGAGAGAGGTGCCTGACCTATTCACTTTCCTACAGTGAAAGAAATAATATCTAATATTTGCAAAGACATCTAGGATCTAGCTAGGATCTAAACATCCCTGTTCTTGTTCATCAGTCCTCTTTGGTTATATGTTTTGCTCAGCTTTGGTGAGGAAGGGAGAGAAGGAGGGGGAGAGAGAGATGGAGAGAGAAAGCAAGCCGAGTGCTTGGTGTTTGATCTATTTACTTTCTTATAGTGAAATAAACAATACCTAAGCAACTCTAAGAGAAAGATCTGTAGGGTCTATCTAGGATCTGTATCTGCCTGCTCTTGTTCAGTGATCCTCTTTGCTGTTTTTCTCAGCTGCTGGAGGAAGGAACTGACTTATATGAACAGTGATACATTGAGGTAGACAACTTACCTTTTTGGGTTCTGTATTTCACCAAATACATGTGGCACAGCTGCACTTTGTAACTGCACATGCTGACACCTGAACTCTCTTTTTTGGGTGTAAGGGACAGCGGCCTCACAAGAAGTGAGGTTCACAGGAAGGGATGTCTCGTTCTCCCCTCCGGGCTCTTCTCCCTCCTGGCTATGCACAGGAAAACATATTCGGAAATTTTTGTCTTTAAAAAAATTTAAATGTGGGGCCGGCGCTGTGGCTCACTTGATTAATCCTCTGCCTGCAGTGCCAGCATCCCACATGGGCACCGGTTCTAGTCTCGGCTGCTCCTCTTCCAGTCCAGCTCTCTGCTGTGGCCCGGGAGTGCAGTGGAGGATGGCCCAAGTGCTTGGGCCCTGCATCTGCATGGGAGACCAGGAGGAAGCACCTGGCTCCTGGCTTCAGATTGGCGTAGCTCCAGCTGTGGTGGCCATTTGGGGAGTGAACCAACAGAAGGAAGACCTTTCTCTCTGTCTCTCTCTCTCACTGTCTGTAACTCTACCTGTCAAATAAAAAAAATTAAATGCTTTATTAATGCCTTTCTTTTTAGTTGAGACTTAGGGAAATCATTTCCTCACACTGTCGCCTCAACTAGAGAGGATGGCACACATCCAGCTGGGCCTAGAGGAACAAAGGAAGAAAAAGTCATGGCTGCCTTGTAATTGTTGGCAATTTCTGCATGCATGTTATATAGTGCATATCATATAGTGCATATTATATAGTGCACATTATATAGTGCATACCATATCGTGCATGTTATATAGTGCATATCATATTGTGCATACCATATAGTGCACACCATATAGTGCATACCATATAGTGATATTATATAGTGCATGTTATATAGTACATATTATATAATGCATGTTATATAGTGCATATCGTATAGTGCACACTATATAGTGCATATTATATAGTGTGTGTTATATAGTGCATACCATATAGTGCATGTTATATAGTGCATATCATATCATGCATATTACATAGCTATATTATATAGTGCATATCATATCATGCATATTACATAGCTATATTATATAGTGCATATCATATAGTGCACACCATATAGTGTATACCATATAGTGCATGTAATATAGTGCATGTTATATAGTGCATACCATATAGTGCATGTTATATAGTGCATACCATATAGTGCATGTTACATAGTTTATATTATATAGTGCACACCATATAGTGATATTATATAGTGCATGTTATATGGTGCATACCATATAGTGCATGTTATATAGTGTATATTATATAATGCATGTTATATAGTGCATATCGTATAGTGCACACCATATAGTGCATATTATATAGTACATACCATACAGTGCATGTTATATAGTGCATATTACATAGCTATATTATATAGTGCATATTATATAGAAGTGTTTTCATGCTTCACAACAATCAGAAAAGATACTCTTTCCAATAAAATTCCTCAGTAAGTTCTAGCTGGAAAAGCAACCTGGCTTTCCCCTTCCCCTTACAACTTCCCA